TTACATTAAATTTCTGCCAATAGATCCCTTTCACCTAAATCTTACACACTGGACCTTTAAATTTGTCTGATTTTGAAAGATTGTTAATTTACACTTCGGACATCTGAAGCAGGTCATAAAGTAACATGGTATAACCTTTGGTACATGCAGTTGTGGTTATTTATCAACCAGTGCAGAAATGTGTCTGCGATAGCGTGGGCACAGGAGAAGCAGGGGGGAAGATGGACAGAGCACAGGTAGCTAGAAAAGCAGCGCATAGGTGGACTGTATGATTATTCATTATTGAGATGGCAGGAGAGCTGAATGAGTGCAGCCGCTAATCTAACTCTGAGCCTGATGGACAGAACACAATTACCCTGAGAGAGCGGGAAGTGGGCGCGAGAGTGAGAGGACCCAGAGCGAGGGATAGAAAGCCAGCACCCTTCTCCCTCCTGTTTTTATTCCTTTCTTTCTTTCTTTTCCATTTGCCTGGCAGACTGTAACTGCAGATGATTTCTGGGCATTAAGTTCCTGTTGCCAGCAATCCTGTTTATCGGGTTGCATATACAGTGAACACTCTCATACATACACACACTCACACACACATCCTCACATCACCCACCCGTGCCTGTTGGCAGCGCCCCATTTACGGACATCCAATTTGCTGCTCGTGCCCTTCTCCCAGACTGTCTCTCCTCTGGTGCAGCTTCAGATTTATGTCTAAATCCAGACACACTAAGCCATGTTCACATCTCCGCTGCTACTTTTAGCTTACTTACTGATTCCAGGTCAAACCGCCACTACAGTGTTCATGATGTCGTCTCGTGCTTCTTCCCCTCACATTAACTGTGTGTGTGAATATGAGGCAGGGAATTTATACAGCTAGACATGGGCAGCTTTTTTGAGAAATTAGCCTCTTCTCCCCTTCTGGGACTGTAGCTTGGATGTAGAACTTGTGCTGGAGTCTCCTGAGTAACAACCATATGTCTGGAGCGTTGGAGACGTCGGGAGAGTGGTGCTGTAGCACATTTTTCATTTTCAGCCTCAGTCTCAGCTTCTTTTTTGCTCTTTTTCACTGCTGGAGTGGTGGCTTATATTTTTTGCAATGGTTGGCTGGGTTGGACTTCTTCATCTATGTGAGTAGCTGTCTCACAGCATGGAATCTAACCTCTGGAATCATTTCACAGTTTTTTCTTGATATATTTTTGATTATAAAGTCTGTGTTTTTGTAGTTAGTTGTAAAGCAGTGATTTTCTAGGTTAAGGCAGGGAGGGGGGTTTCTCGCCTGCCTCTTCAAGGATTAACAGACTGCCTTTCTTAAACACTCCAGATGCTGCCTGAAAGACGCTACAGCTAGAAGGAGAAGAACAAATTCAGGGAACAAAGAGGACGGGGACTGAAGCAGCTCAAACTCCATCCTTTTTGTTCTGCTTTTACTTCCTTGGGCTTTTTTTCGCTCCCCTTTTACCCCTTTCTCATTATTTTACTCACCCACTCTATGTTCCTTCACCCCTCACTTTCTCTCCACCCTGTTCATTTGTCTTCCACCTAACCCCTCTCTCCTCACCCTCACCCTCACTCTCTCTCCATCCATTTGGTGGAACAGTGCTGCTGATAATGCCTGTAATTGGAGTGACTCACACTTTTCCAGTGTGTTTGGACCAGATAAAGAATATTGTCAGCATTTTGCCGACATGGCCTCTGCTGGCAGAATTAAATGGACTCTGTTCTTTTCTGTCTGCAGCAAATTAAAAGCCTCTCAATTCATCTGTTCTCGCCCGAGGCTTACAGGGGCCTCCTATTCACACAGAAACACCGTGTAGAGGGGGAGGAAGAGAAAAAGAGAGATTTCCCTCTTTCCCAAGAAGCCCCGGTCTTTAGTTTTGCTCAAGCCTACACTCAGCCACTGTTAGATGGGGACGTAGAGGGAAAGAGAGGTCAAGACTAACAGTGGAAGGAGAGGTGAAGAGCAGCTCAGAAGCTAGTTGGATTCATTATGCAGCATGTCAACTTGCAGCTGTCTCCTGCTGTCTTTGTACTTCAGCAACTTGGAGTAAGAAAGGAGCTTGTCTGCACTTGTGTGTGCATGTAAGTGTGTGTTTGTGTGTTCTCATGCATTTATGTGACAGGGTTAGAGAGCAGATCTGAGAGTGTTGGCTGCAAGGTTATGGAAGTAACTGCCAGGCCACACTTCAGAATAAAGTAGCAGCAGATGGGCAAAGAAAGGACAGACTGCTGGGGCCAGAGGGGCCCATCACGCACTGGACAGGGGCCGGGGGGGGGGTGGGCAACAAGTGTGGCTGTAGGGTTGAAGAGAAATCATAGTTAGTTATAACCTGCTTCTTACAGACCTGCGTTTTATGACCCACATCTTATGTCCCAATGTTATTACATTTCCAAATAATGACACATATAATGATGTATAACATTAAATTCAAATTCAATTAATTCATAGATTATATAAAGATTAAAATTATACGATAAGTGGTGTTTGAGTCTGTTGTGGGGGCTAGGCTGCCGCATGATTCAAAAAGTAGTGTCAGGCCTTTCATTCCCAAACCAGTAGAAAATCTTTAAAGGTTCAGTGTGTAGAATTTAGTGACATCTAGTGGTGAAGTTGCATGATGCAGCTGAATACCTCTCACCTCACCCTCTCCTTCCAAACATGAAAGAGAACCTGTGGTAGCCTTCAGTTGTCATAAGTTTGTCCAGTTTGGACTACTGTAAAAAAACATGGTGGCCTACATAGAGAGGACTTGCTCCAGATGTGAATATAAAGTATTTAAATATAGAGGGGCCTTTCTAGGGTAAAGAAAACAAGAATTCCTACAATTTACATGATTATACATTAGTGAAAACATATCTAGGATTATTTTATATTCTAACACTGAACCTTTAAGGTAAAAGCTCCTTGTTTTGACTTGTCTGATTCTTTCTCTTGTTTGGAAAGACCTCATTCTGTATCGTGATCGCTCTTTTCTTTTGACTTGCATCCGTTCTCTGGAAGAACGCCTAGTGCTGTAATGTGTATTATTTGTAACACCCTGAAATAAACAATAGCACTTTATATAAAACAATAAAGGTTTCTCTCTCATCAACACTGTTTGATGATCTTCGTCATAATCTGAGTCATGGCAACCAAATGCAGGAGATGCAGACTTAGAACTATAGCCTGTAAAATAGAATTTAATATTTATTTAATGTTGATCCTACTGTTGTGTCCCCCATGATGGGACATAAAGAAGAGACTGAAACTAACACTTGAATTTATTGCAAAACTGACCAGATCAGAATAATTGCCCTTTTTATAGAGAATCTGTAATTATCAGTTCAAACACATGGAGTCAGGTTGGCGCTTCTTCATCAGTTCAAACATCAAGTCAGTGTGAAGTGTGCATGGAAATTGTGAAAACATGTCAGTGCACACACAAATTCTCACACACTATACTATGAATAGTAGTGATAACAATTTGATACTTAAATCAAGAAACAAGGCAAATATTGTCTTGACATTGGTCTATCGCTGATCTGTCTACTGTTGCTCACCAAGATCATCGTCTATCAGTAATTGTCACACTATATTTCATCATATCACGCATCCCGAGGCTCCTATTAGTTTTTTTCTAATGGGGTAATAATGGAGTTAATTGCTGAGTCCTGGGATTGCAGTGACATTATGGGTAAAAGTCAGATGAGGGACAGGGCTCTTGTTCTAGAGCGTGCAAGTTAAAATTTAACGTGGCCACATCACTGCGAGTGCATGATGATCACTATAAAAGAAGTACTTTTTCTTCTTTACCTTCTCACTTGCTCTCTGCTTCAACTTCCCCTGCGTTGAATGACAGTGGATGAGTGCAGAGTGATGTTTGTAGTTACAGTTTGGTGTTGCAGGATATAGACAGTAAGTTCATAAGAAGACCTGCTCCCTGCAGTGTGTGCATGTGTGTGTTGAAAGAGAGAGAGCGAGTTGTGACAGAGAGAGAAGGTGAACCAGTAGTCACAGCTGAGCCTAATGCTTTTTCACTTTTGACTCCTCCCTGAACTTGTGATATTTTCTAGTAACCTCAGCCAAACCTGCCTGACCTGCAGGCTGACCTGCAGCATCCATAGGTTATTTGTGTTCCCACAGCTGACAAGCTAGTTATTTTGAGGAACAAAATGAAGCTGGTGGAGAGGGAGTGAGCCAACACGAGGTCCCGACTGAGACTGAAATGACGATGAAAGTGCAGGTGCAGGCAGAGACTGAATGAGCTGGTGAAAAACAGAAACTACTTTCAACCTAACAGACTAATGCAGTACTTGTGTTTGCAATACAAGGGTAATACTATGCTGTGTTTGTATTGTGGGCAATGTGGCCTTCCATTAAAAATGTGTGCAGCAGGGAAACCATTAATAACGCAAAATCAAACTATCAAATCAGATCAAAACAATTTAACATGAATGCAGCATGTCAACATTAATAGTTCTCTTATAGTCATCTCCTTAAAGAAATCTACATGCTGTTATGTTTTGCATTTATTCTTTTAAAATACAACAGAGTATTAGGAGCCTTATTGGATATCAAGACTAAAGTTGTGATTTAATGAAAAAAAAAACTACCAAACATTTCCTCCCACACAAATAAGGCACCTTCCTCCAAGCCTGTGTGGTTCTTTCTTCAGAATTGATCTTGCACAACCTTTAATAAATGGTTTTACATAATCTGACTAAACATTTAGTGTAGAGCCTCTGTGAAGTTGCTCAGTGTCAGTGTTTTTAAACCTGTTTGATTGAACGAAACTGTTGTTTGGTGAAGTCAGGTCGTTCCTCAGGCTGTGTCCTTGTTGAAACACATTACTGGTAGGAAGCAGGAAGTGCAGTGCAGATCTCCCCGTCTGTTACCACGGGCAACATCCACTCAAGGCTCCTGATCAGAAACAAGCTCATTTTCATGCCTGCTGAGAACTCTTGCTAGGTCTCGCCTGCCAACAGTAAACACAACCTAACTAAAGCAAACCCTCTCTTCCTTTCTTTCTCTCCAGCTCTCTGTGGGTGTGTGTGGGATGTTGTGTCAGGGCTGAAGCCCATCCCTCTCCCATGAGCCTGTGGGCCTCCACACACACACCCGGCGCCCACTCGCACACAGCCGGCACTGACGCTGTGAACTGGACCCTCTGAGCCCAACGGATCCCAGCGGAGCGGTGTCTAGCCCAGTTGGAGCCTGAGGATGTCAACAGAGACAGAGCTACAGCCAGCGGTCAGGCCCAGCAGCGTCAGACGGGACTCCAAAAGGAAAGGTAAGAACACATTCTTATCCACCAGGCCACTTCAGAAGCAGTCTGCATTTCTACATGTTTCAGAGCTGAACATTATGTAGTTCTTACAGCACCCGACTATCGTGTTTCTGCTATAGTCCAAGACCCAACTCTGGCCATTTGCATTGTTATGGTACCTAAAGGCCACTGTAGGTTTTTTACATAATTGGAAGGGGAGGGGAGGATGGGGAAAGTTATAATCTGTTAGTTACAGTCTACAACCTCACCCATAAATGGGACTAAATGCTACACAGTGACCCTGAGAAGTCTTGCCACTGCTTGTTTTGCTCAGAGAGAGACAGTTTTACCATCACTCGTAGGAAAAGTGCTGTATCACACCAGTCGTACAGTTTGAAACAGTTAATGAGAAATGTATCATGTTGCTCATTACTTTGAATCACTTGAGATTTTCGCAGCAGACTGTCTGACTTGTTATAGTGGGAAAAGCACACGTGTTCCTGGAAGCCATGACAGTGTGACAGTGAGCGAGCATGTACAATTCCACAGCGTTAAAACTGAAACTACGACATGGAATTCAGTCATCATTGATGTCACATGAAAAAGCCTGTTACTACCAGGTTCTTATCTGTCATTGGTATTCTGTTGAGGATTGTTCTGAAAATCAGATTCCTCCAAAACACAGGCAGCATTTTCACTATAACTGCACCTACCACTTAATTATTATTTTACCAATTAATCTAACGATTATTCTTTCTTATAATACATCATTCTAACGTTTAACTTTTCCGTTTACTCAAACAATATTTTTTGTACTTGATTCATATAATAATGAATTTATCAAAAATAACTTTTAAAAACTTGTCTCATATTTATTTAATCATCTCTTAAATACAAACAAATATGACAAATAAGTAGGCACTGCACTTCTGTGTGTTTTCACAATTGAACGTAGTTTAGAGATGAGACATAGTGGTCGGGGTTTTCTCCTGGTGAAAGATCATGTACTTTGTGACCACCTGTCTTCAGTCAGTGTTGTAGTGTGGACTCAATGACTCCCCCTGAGATTGTGAAACAGGTTTAAATTAAAATCTTCTGTTCCATAATTGTATTCAGATTGTAGTTGAAAGGCTACAACCAAGTCAGTATAAATAATGTAATTAGTAAAAACTAAATGTAGTTTCACTGTGGAGAATACTGTCAATAATTCACTAGTGACTCAGGTTGAACCTTGGTTAGAAACGGTTCTAACACACTGATATTCACACACACAGCTTTATCAGATGCCCTTCTCTCTTTATTAATTCCATCTCAATTGGCTGCTGATGATGGATTTGGGTTCAACAACAGAATGCAGGGCTGGTGTTGTTCATAGCTAATTAACGGGTGCAGGGGTATTACGGTGCAGTGGATTGCTACCAAACAGGTGCAAGGATGTTGTGGTTGGTGAGAAGCAAACAGATCCAGGTGTGAAAAGCTCCAGAGGCAGATAGCTAGCAGGTGTATGAGAACAGGGCTGGGTGGTCTCAGAGCAGAGGTGATGCCAGGGGCCAGGCTGGCAGCCATTACCCAGCTGCTCGGTGCCACCTGCCCAATAACAAGAGTGACACCCAGCATTCTCTGAATAAGCATCTGATTGATGTAGCAAAAACTCGGGACACCGTTGGGAGCGACACGTAAACGGATACACACAGTCACACAAAGATGCACACACGTGTGCACGCTCTCACTATCACCTGCAGCAGATGCCTCATTGCACACAGTGTTGTGCGACCCCTGCAAACAAGCACTGGTTCACACACACACACACACACACACACACACACACACACACACACACACACATACAGTGGCTGAGGGAAGGCTTGAATGCAGCTCATGTCCTATTTAGAAACAGTATTGTCTCTGCAGCAAAGGAGATCATGTTCGTCATTCAGACTGCTCTCCATATTTGGGTAGATGCAGACACACACACACACACACACACACACACACAGAGAGACTGGGATGTAAGCCCAGAAGAGCATATGAGAGGAAAGATGAATGGTCTGCCTTCAGAATTCAGACTTGAGGGGTTTTTTTGTGTCACCCTTTTCCCCATCTCTCTCTCTCTCTCTCTCTCTCTCTCTCTCTCTCGCTCCCTCCCTCCCTCCCTCCCTCCCTCCCTCCCTCCCTGTCCATTTTCTGTCTTCTGACTCTCTTGAAGCACACTCACGTGTGCCTACCTGCAATTCCTTTTTTTAAAGAAATAAGGCAAGTAGAATTTGCAAAACTACAGACTCATCAAGCTCTACTCACACACAGTACTCATGTCTCCTCTGATCTGGGTCAATTCACACACACACACAGACACACAACCACACATACAGCAGGGTGATGAAAGTCTAATGCAATCATACACCAAACACAAGCACAAGTGTGCTCTGAGAATAGAAAACTTTGATAAGGCTCTTGTTTAGTGTTTGACCTGAAACCCTCATGTATGTACAGCACATACACATGTTTCCATTTCTTTCCAGCCCCCTGCTTTCGGTCTCTTTGGAGTTGCTGCATTTGAATGAAAAAAAGATCCAGCTAATAGCTTACCGTCATTGCTGTTGTGAGAATCTCAGCAGGATAGTCTCTCATTCTTCCTCATCCTCTTCCTCCTCCCACTGCTTTGACTCCTACGACCTTGGCCCGGATAAATGAGATGCAGAAGAGAGACTGATCACGATGAGAGAAAGGGAATAAGATAGACTAATGAGTCAATGTGAAGAAGAGCTGTTTAATCTCAGGCCTTTGTTTTACTCCTCTGTGAAGAAGACTGTAATAAAAAGAGAATGGAGCTGCCGTGTGTCACACATTAATCACACATGTAGTGTTCCTGGATCCATGTTGTTGCTGCAGGTCTGAGTGCAGAGGGCAGTTTTTTTCTTGTACGCACAATTATGTTTCGTCTGTGAGCTCAGGTCATTTTTTAAGAGGGTTTTTATTGAATTACCATGACAAGGTAGAGATAACCTTTGACCTTTAGCATTTATATGACCTCAGCTGAATAACTGCGGCTTCCTGCTTCCTCTGACAATAAATTAGTCATTGCTCTTCGGTCAGGCTCAATTCTTGAAGTATAGTAGTCTTTATTAATCCTCAATAAAGCCACAAAGATTACATCTCTTCACCTCTCTATCCCTCTCTGATACTCTCTCTCTCTCTCCACCCTCCCTCCTTCCCCATTCTCTACCTTTGTACCTGCAAATCATAATTTTCCATAAGATTACAGTGCTAACAGAGTTAATGTAGGTGGTTCAACCAAGGATTTGATCAATTTTGACCAGTTTGAGGTAAAAAATGAAATAATGATGTGTAGCAGAAATATGTTCCCACTATTTTCCTATCTTTATCATTGTGCAGTTTGTTCAATATTTGTTTCCCCTATAATTATTGAAGAGCTTTGTCTTTCAGTTTGTCAGCAGGACGTTTTGATTTCATGTTCTGATTTTGAAATGCTCTTCCTTAAAACCCTGCACTCACACTGAAATACACTCTGCTTGTGCTTAGATTTCCTGCACCCCAGCTTCAGCTCCTTTCCTTGCGCTCACTTCACCTCTGTGACCTCCTGACATATATGCTACTTAAAATCTGTCAAAACTCCCCAACCAATAGAATGTTAGGTGTAGTGATGACGAATGAAATTGCACAGACGCAGCACGATCGTGAGTGCAGGAGATCTGAGCACAAGCAGGGTGTATTTTATTTTGAGTGCAGGATTTGAGTGAGAGCATTACAAAATCTGAATGAAATCAATAAATCCTGCTCCCATACTGAAAGACCATTGTCTTAAATACATGTAGGAAAAAACCCATAGTTGAGCATATACTGATATCTCTTGAGAGATCCACGCAGGTTTGTAACCATCTGTTTAGATTTATCTTGTTTCTGTGGTGCTGTTGAATCCAGAAAAATGTCCTGAAAGAAACCACAGTTTGATAATCTTTATCATCAATAAAGAATGTGTTTGACACTCTGCCAGTACAATCACTTTAATGTGGATGTCAAATTACAAAAATGAGCCAATCTGACATTTGTGAGGAGCCCATTGGCTGCAGACAGTTTTGTCTCCACTTAAAAACGTTTTCATCTCAACGCCTGCCTTCCTAATGAAGTATGATGAACCACTGATGCCTGACTCTGGGGAATCTTTGAATCGCATCTCCCGCTTTCGTTATAAGAAAATCAGTCAGACGTTACAATGTAGGATTTCAGCAACACCGCATCCTGCTCAAAAGCATTTAACATAATTACAGCAGGCTTTGTAAATATATGCTCTGCTGTTGCTTCCCTACAGATGATGTATAGTTTACTTGTCAAAACTGGTCAGATGGATTGTTCAGCTAACTCAGGCTGAGCAACAGTGGACTTTTATTGTAGTGTTTTAATTGAGTTGAGTTGTGTTAATGAACAAACTGATTGTTCAGTATTTATTCTCAGATGATGCAGTGTGACGTTCAGCCTCTAAATTCTGACATAAGCTCGACAAAAAACAGTTCATAATAGTGAAATCCCACTTGGTAAATAAACTGTGCTGACTTTAGCATATCTCTGTGGATCTGGCACTGCGCCTGCATTGTTGTTACAATATCAGGATTGTGAATGCGTATATGAGGCTAAAAATGTTGGTAAAGTGTGACTGTGATTTGCAAGCTTGTCTTTGGCAGTTAACCAGTAATCGAGCAGATCATTTGGGTGATCGTCCCTTTTGAAACCCTACCCATAAACAGCTTTAGTGTTTGAGCATTCATCGTTTCCTCTAACAAATATAAATAGTTTTATTTTTATTTTCTATTCGCAGTATTGTATTCGCAACATCATTAAATGTTCAAATCAACCGTTTACTGATTACGGTCTGTCTCTCATGATGTGACACCAAATATGATTACAAGTTCCAATAACTTCTGCTGCTGTCAACACACTCAGACAACTGTCATCACAACTCTGAAAAATGACGACTCTCCCTCAATGGGATTTGGCGGAGGATGTGTGGG